TTTTTTATATAATTTAAGTATTGAAATTATCAAAACACTTTGGATAAAATTTTCTTATGTTTCATATTTATTTATTATTAATATTTTGATAATTTTAATATATATACTTAAAAGAAAGGTATAGTCTATACTAAAAAAATGTTTATTTCTTATTTAAGTGACTTGACAACCATCTAATGATTATTATGATTTTGGACGTGCTATGTCTTAAGTCCTCAATTATTACCTTTATTTATTCGGTTAGATTAAAAAAAAAGTAAAATAAATATTTAAAATTACTTTGTAATAAGTTATTTTAATTTTTAATAAAAATTTATTAAAACAATATAACTTTAAAGAGTTTTTCAACTTAATCAAAATAAAAAAAAAAATTACTTCATTTTTTGTGAGTTCAATTAATAAATATTTTTTTCTTTATATATTCTCTCGTAAAAAATATATGTTATATTATGTCATGCTTTGTGGAAGTAGGGCTGGCAATTTCCTCACGGATACGTGGAGATTCACGTTGCAAGGGTGAGGATTTGGAGAATTTTAGATGTCTTGTTAGCCTGTCACTTGAACTAATTATTATATGAAAATCTATCATGAAAACCAGTGACACTTAACTGAAAACCATTGAGATTGAATTCCATTTATTTTTTTGTACTTATTACATGGAGATTGTTGAAACTAGAGTTCAAAATAATTAGCTTCTAATTGTTACAATTGGTTGGACACGAGGTTTGCTACATGATAAAAATTTTGCATTGAAAAGGTTTAATCTCATAGAAAATTACCAAAATATAAAGAAAAATGCCTGAAATTAAATATCACATTATAGAGCAAGCATAGGGATTGTCATCACTGAACATTAACCTGCTCTGTTCAACGATGGAAGAATAAACCGGCTGCTGATAGTATCCATCGTCATGGCCGTCATAGCCAGGTTCGTAGTAATTGTAGGTGGATGAAGCAGTGGGCACCTCTCGCAGCTGGTGGGTCATCGGTGCTGCTTCGCTCTGAATAATTAGCTGCTGCTGCTGCGGGTAGTATTGCTGTGCATGGTTATGGTACTCATCAGGAATGTAAGGATACGGCCACAGCTCCGCTCTTTTCCCTGTTTTCTTCACTGCCTTCAGGACCTTCCTCTGGTCCACCCAACCCGTGACAGTCACCTTTTGCAGTGCCATGTCTATGTCAACATCACCAACCCCTGTAACAGAACATGAAAATTAATCATCTCTCTATTAAAATTACATATGAAAAAAAATTAATGTTGGTTCCAATTTCATGTGTATATATACCATCAAGTTTTTTAAGAGCCTTCCTTATCTTGCTCTGGCAGCCAGTACAATCCATATCCACTCTCATTTCAATAAAAGTCTGTAGCAAAAAGATGAAGAAAATTTCAATCTTGTTTCATCAGCTCACCGAGAATTATCATAAAAGGAGAAAGATGATAGAATTTCTAACCGTCATTATGATGTAGTTCAGAAGATCGCAGGCTTAGACTTGTGTGTTGAACTTGAATTGAAGTGTAGAATAGTACGTAGGCTGGCGCTTGTGTGTTTTTGATGCTTGAAACTAATGAGAATGGATCTATATATAGGGAGAGGTATGGGAGGGAAAGGGTGCAGCAGCTGCTTCGAAGCTAAGGAGAATATTTTTCTGAAGTCCAACTTCACAAGTTTCATGTTAGTTAGTTTATTAGAAATTTAGTCTTTTGATAACGACTAGTCAAGTAGAATCTTAAAAAGGTCCGCGTATATTAAATTAGCAAAATAATTAAGAAAAAGACCGGAATACATAATGCTTAATTTAAAAAAGTCATTTATAATAGTTTACGCGTTGGTTATCAGCTAATTAAGTATATATAGATAAACTTATAATATGTAATTTGAGAAGAACGTGCTGACAGCCTTAGATTATTAAATGATTGGATCAAAGCGAAGGTGGTCGGAAACTTGACATTGCCCAGTGTTCAACACTGACTTTATAATGTGTACATACAATGTGAATGCAAGAAATAGATTGGTAGCCTAATAATAGGAACAAGAAATTTGTCTCATCAGAAAGAGAAAAGTGGGTGTGACGGTTGCTTTTTCAGAGAGATGAAATTGAAGAGGATGTTGATGAGATGCTTACTAACATTGACTAAAACATTGACTAATGAGTAATAACTTCTGTTGATGTATAAATAATATAAAAATATTTATAAGTACATAGGTAGATGAGTTGGTGAAAAATTTTTCAATTTAATTAGAAATTTTGATTTTAAATTCTGAAAATATAATTTTATTAAAACTTATAAACAAAAATTTTGTTATCTGTTGAGTCTTATTTGGGTCTTATTCGACTCAAATCTAGATTAATCTCTAATAAATTTTCAAATACTGATTTTTTTTTTTTAACATTTTGATACAGGGCGGGTTCGAAACCCGCTCAGGAGAGGGGGGAATGCACTTAACAAGCTGGCTAATGCCAGTGGGCCTCTAAGCCCAGGTGCAATTTTCAAATATTGATTGATCTAAATAAAATAAATAAATAAATAAATAATATAAAGACTCTAGGCGTGGACCGCGCGACACCGAGATCCAAGTCTTTTTCCCTCTGCAGAATTCTACAATTTTACGCAGGATGAGCCTCCAGGTAACGAAAACTTTAATTGGTTGTGTGGTTTACTTTTCATAGGAAACATCCTATTTTAGGATTTTATAAAGATATTTTTGATAATTATATATTTTAAAATTATAATAACATAATTTTTAATTTGTAAAGTTTTATTTTTTTTATTGTTTATTGATGGAAAAAAAGTTTTGGATGACTTTCATTACATTAGGCTTATTTAATAACTTTCTCAATTAATTTTTTTATATTAATTTTTTATTAAATACAATAAAATTTTAACAAAATTTCATTACTAAATTTAACAACTTTTTATCCAGTATCTCTTCAACTAGTGGCGGAGTTAAGAAATATTTTTAGGGGGATAAAATAAAATTTTCAATTAAAGTAGATGATTGCATGTGTGAATGTGAAAAGTAAAATTAAAAAAAAAAAAAAACATTTGTTAATTTTTAACTATAAATTAATAGTAGTTGATAATGTAATATAAAAATCATCAGTTGAAAGATAAAATAAATATGTTAAGTAGAATAATATACACTAAGAACAAAGAAAAAGAAAGATATTAATAAATAAACACTTTATAAAAAATGATAATAAACAATTTTTATCATTTATTTTTTATTTTTTTTCAAATTTTATATTATCTTTATTTTCTCCATCTTTCTCTTTATCATTAAAAGTAATCTTTAACAACATAAATACTCAAAATGATTAAAACAGTATCAAATAAGAAAGGATAAAAATGATAAAAATAAAATGTAAGGGACTTTTCTAAATTTTTTTACAAAAGCTTAGGGGGGCCTATGTCCCATCAGGACCCCTTGGCTTCACCAGTGTCTTTAATAACTTTCTTAGTAAAAATTTTCTCGAAAAGTTGGTCTTTAACCAAATACACACTAAATTGTAGCGATTTCATGCTCCTTTTTGTCTTTTTCTTTGTTTTTCTTACCTAGAAAAGTTCAATCCTCTAAATAAAAGAAGGGGTCAGTTGTATGTAAGAAACCTCAGCTTAGGGGTTTAACACAATGCACCAACATTGGTTTGCCCTCATTGAATTTGTCTTACACATGCTTGCAGCCTGTATAAATGAACACCATGTCTCATGCTTAAGCTTACAACTTGAAAAAACTACCAAAAGATAATTTCTGAAAAGGAATAAAGTTTTGGAATTTCACTTACCATGGTAGAGAAGGAAGGTGGAATTGTCAAAAAGGGACATTTAATGAAGGAATTAAAATGGCATTTTCTCTTCTTGAAGAGTTTGAGCTTCCTCTTGAACTTCTCCCTCTTGCAGATGTCATTGAGGTCGGTTTTGTGAGGAACACTGGCATGTAGATCCTGCAAGAGAAAAAGGTAGAGCATAATCAAGCTATGGCACTTAAATATCTGGTTATGTTAGCAAGAAGCAGATCAAGAAGCTTAAGGGAGTGAAGGCTAAGGAGCTCATGCTCTGGCCTCCAGTGAGTGAGACTGTACTTGATGATGACCCACCTACTGGAAAGATTCACTTTAAGAGCCTTGCTGCGATCAAAAAGACTTTAATTTCCCAGTGGAGGCATTTGCAGCCGGACAGTGAGATGCACCAAGCTATGCTCGGGGATCCACTAGGTTGCCATGACCATAAATTTACAGCTTAATACCATAGTCCTTGCTGCTTTCTATTTCCCATACTCTTCTACAATTCTCTTATATATAAGAATTGATTATGTTTCTTATCAGCATTCAAAAGTCAAAATAAAATGTCCAACATTCATCTTCAATGGTTTGGCTTCCAGCATGTTAGTAAGGAAATCTACCTTAAAAACAATTCAGTAATCAAGGCCAGTGCCTTCAATGGTGACCACTGGTGAGCCTGTTTTAAAAATGTTCACAGAGAAATCCAAACAATAATAAAGAAAACAGGAACATGAATTAAAATCAGCAAACAATAATCCACAGTAATGGATCTGATCCAGCTTGCATCCAAAAATTTTATGAGAGTAACATAGATAGCAATTTACATGGAAAATATGCTATTGATTTTCTTCAGTACAAGATTCTCTTCAAAATTTCAAATCACATGCATGTGCATGCGTTTACAAAAGAATAGAAGTGACTCTACTCCTGATCATAAAATCAAATGCTAAACATTTTATCACTTATCGGAGTATATCTGATGCCTGGGATAAACAGAGTAGAGAAATACAAGGAAAATCAAGTAAAGAAGAGAATGATCTCCGATATATTATTACTCAAGTGGATATCTGTATTACAGAGAAGTTTAGGGAAATCACAAAGAAACAGATAAGAAGTGATAACCAATTTCATAGACAAGCTGCAAATGACAAGAAGCAGCCTCTAAATACCATCTGCGCTCTAGCCCTAACTCGTACCAAAACGGCAACACTAAGTTAAATAAAACAACAAGAAAAACAACAATATATAAAATATAATACTAATCCTATGTGGCTCCTACATGTCTTCCAGCTCATCAAGTGCTTGCCACCTGTCACGTATGTTATTTACCATATATCAATACCTCCCCTCCTCAAGCATCCTTGTCCTCAAGGATGAAAAACCTTCCAACAACAGCTTTCAACAGAGACCTTGAACCAATGCTTGGCAGTTGTGTTGTCTTCTTCTTTCCCATCACCATGTCCAAGACTACACGTAATTCTCAAGGTGTCTCTTAGAAATGCAAATTGAACAAGAGTGTAGGGCTTGCCTTCCACCCACCATCGGAAACGATGAAGCATGCAAACGCCTCTTAAAAGAACATTAGAACACCCATGTTGGAGTCTCAAGGGTGAATTGAACCATTGCACCAATTGCTGAATAAATGCTTCCCAGCCTCCGTCCACCATCTTTCTATGCAAAGTAGATACCAGCATTGGTAAGGAAATGAAGGAGCGCACAACAATTATCATAGCCAACAGTAAAGTGTGCAAATGAAGCTTCTTCTCGTTTGAGCTTTGAATTGGGCCAAAAGTGTCCCTAAAATTCTGCCACAACGCAAAATGGACAAGTTGAACTTCACAGCAACAAACAATTCCAATAGAACCAGTAAAAAATGGAGTCACTACTTTGGAGCAAAGCACTTGCAAAATCAAAACAGGACAATTTTCAAGCATAAATTCCTGTCTTTCTAGAGATGTTCCCTTGCTCAAAATTTTGAAGCTATAGAAAATATTGTCAGCATTTTTGAACCAAGAAATTCTCAACACTATATCGTACATCCATGGTAAAAATACAACATATGTGTGAAATGGCTTTCCATCCAACCACCAAAAGAAGCTCTCACACATAATAGAGCACCCCATGAAATTGCCAAGTTTAGGAGGCTTGCCAAATTCAGCTTCTGTAAAAGGTACTTTCATAGCGTCTCCCTTGCTATAAGTTGCTACATTAAGGCCATTAAGTCCGCCAAAATATGAATTGAAAGTATTTGGTGTGGGACATTTTAGAAGATAGCTTAGATGGTCAAGTAACCCATCAATTTTAACATGTTCAGCTTCCATGAGTCTCCTCAGATTGTAGATAATAGAACAATTTCTTAGAAGAAATTTGACATCGAGCAACAAATAACCAATAGCAATGAAGGGATGATTGTATAGGTAGCACAGAGTTGGAAAAATCCCTTCACTGATGAAATTCCCAACCATGTTGACAAAACCAAAGAAGATTTTCAATCCATTCACGTGCATGCTAGTCAAACATCTTAAGTTTTTAGGGAATGGTGCTTCTATCGCACGCCTGCACCCTTCAAGCCAATCCTTAACAATAGGTCTCAAATTAGAAGAACAAAAAGTAGAATATCTATCACAACCATTGGTCATATTGCCATGAGCTTGATCAAGTGGGTAACCATCACAATGCGTAGATACGAACCCAACACCAATAGCAGTAGAGCTCCTCAACCCAAAACATATTTCTTCTTGCAAAGTAATAGATAAATTCATTAATTGGTTAGAGGACTCTGGTAGTTTGGCCAATGTATTCTCATTAAACAAAATTTGTGGCACAACCATTCCAAAATATCCTCTTAAACCGTCAAAAATTAAAGGTTGTTCATCAGAGATACTTGGGTTTGGAAACAACAAAGCCAATGATTCTTGATATTCATCCATCTTTCTTTTCTGCCGCATTGTAACTAATCTAATGTTAACCAATTCAGCAACACCAAAAACTGGAACCACAGACTGCTCGGGGATGAACTCGGGACTGCCAAAACCTCTTTGCAGAATTTCACCGAACAGATGGCATGCATCTGGTGCTGAACATAACTTACCCTTGAAACCCATCCATCCAGCCACAGACCCGTTGCAGTGAAGGACACCCAACTCAGGTTCATGAGTAGAAATTGGTGACTGATACTGAACCATTTTCATGGGCTTAATTGTGGTCTCAACTTTAGCAACCGTAGAGATCATCAAAGGGGTTCATTGCTTCTCTATCCCATGGATCTCAGGTTGCGTGTTGACAACATCGATAGATTTCTCTTGCTCTTTTATCGTCGCCAGCACCATTTCTTCTTCTGGGTTAGCAAGGAAAGGACATTGAGTTGCTAGTAAAGCATCTTGCCTCGCCAATATTTTCCTCATCCATGCACGCATATCGTCTTCAAATGATTGAGAATAAATCTCTACCATTGCCGAGGAAGGAGTGGGCTCTGATACCACTGATGCCTGGAATAAACAGAGTAGAGAAATACAAGGGAAATCAAGTAAAGAAGAGAATGAAATCAAGTAAAGAAGAGAATGATCTCCGATATATTACTCAAATGTATTCTGATTACCGAGGGAGTTTAGGGAAAACACAGAGCAACAGATAACAAGGAATAACCAATTTCATAGACAAGCTGCAAATGACAAGAACCAGCCTCTAAATACCATCTGCACTCTAGTCCTAACCCGTACCAAAATGGCAACACTAAGTTAAATAAAACGACAAGAAAAACAACAATATATAAAATATAAAACTAATCCTATGTGGCTCCTACATGTCTTCCAGCCCATCAAGTGCTTGCCACCTGTCATGTATGTTATTTACCATATATCAATATCTGATTCTGCAGTCTATGAAGTTCTGATTCTGCAGTCTATACTAGAACCTTTCACATAACCCCAGAGTTGAATACATGTAAATCCAACAATCTATTGTAATTTCCTTTCTCAATTTCCTCTTCTTCCACCTGATGCAGAAGAAGAGTTTCGATAATAAAGTCTTCCCAGTCAATTTCAGGGGCTTGTGTTCTCTTCCTCTTCTTACGAGGAATCTCATCTTCAAAAATGCAAAGATCACCATTTCCACCTGAATCTGTATTTAAAGGATGCATAATCTTATTAATGCGCAGCTTAGCAGCATTTATCCTTTTCCTTCTCTCCTCATTTGCCAAGCAACCAGCAGTAAAAGATGGTGGCATAGCATCATACCCTACATCTCTCTCCAAAATTTCCTTAAGAAGAAGCTTTTTGGTCAATTCTGATTTCCCATTCCACCAATCCCTGCATTCATCAAACTCAGAACCTGTGTTTCTTTCCCTCCTAGGAACGTTCCCACTCTGTCCATTCAACTGACTGCGATCAACCTCATTTGAAAAGTTTGTATAAATCAAAGACAGGCATTCATGTGAAAGCTTAAGCTTATCAGCCTTGACTAAATCCCACTTTGGATCATCATTTCTACCACCCATATCAGAATGTTGATCAAGACCTTCTATGCAATTCTCATAATCCCTATATGCAGCCTCAGTCCTCAAACAGTCACTGACCACATCGTCCAAATCAAACCCACTATTCTGAAACTCAATCATCTCCCCTTCATGCTTCTTCTCCATCGACTTCATCTCCATATACTGAATCACAGAGGGCGCATGCTTCAACACATTTTTCACATTCACATCCTTCCCCCATGGCAAGGCTTGGGCAACCTTCACAAGTGTCTCCAGCAGCTCCTTATACCTCAACTTACATGTGGCCACATTGGCATGCACCTCCTTTGCAACATCTCCAATCCTCACACCCTTCACTCCATTCAACTCTGCCACAAACACCATCACTGCAGCCACCAGTGGTAGTGGCCTCCTCCCCGTCGTCAAAAACCATTTCACAGCACAATTCACCAAAAAAATCCCTTGTTTCTTCATCCTCTCTTTCCCATCATCATCTAGTTTACCTAAACACTGCGAATTATTAATCTCTCTCTCAAACAAACCAGCTATACTCATCTCAGGCAAATTCAAATCCAAAAATCTAACAACCCGCGAAATCATCCTCCCCAATTCATACACATCACAGCTAATAACCTCAGCTATCTCCGCCGCAGGCAGAACCCTATTATCTCTCCTCATAACAACATAACAACAAGCACCGATTAGAACATCGAACCAGTCTCCTTGACCGAATTCACCATGAGTTATTCTATCTATCATGGAAGTAACTTCGAATTCGGAATTGGGTATGTTAAGAACTAAGGTATATTTATGGATTGATCCTTTGGCATTGAAAATTTTTCTGTCCTTGTAATTGAAAACGGAACCAGTACCTGCGTATCCGATGTTGATGTTGGTGCCCGATGGACCGCTGATACCGCCGATCTGGGCATCGTAGTTCTCGAACTCTAAGAGGATGTTGCACTTTGTGCATGCGAGGTTGCCCGTTACGGGATCGCGGAATGTCGATTGGCTTCCGCAATTGCAACTCATGGTTTTCTTTAAGCGTTTGGTTGGTGGGAAAGTTGCGGTTTTTTATAAAAAGTTCCGATTTTGCATAACCAAATCAGCCAAGAACAGTACGAAGCAAAAACCCTTCAGCCCAGCAACACCAGAGGAGACATGACGGCGGCAGAGTTTGTAGATCATTCGGGGTTGGCCATAGAAGGGTTAAATCGGTTATTTAAACGTTGCGTTTTGGATTGGGCAGTTTTTTTTTTTTTTTTGAGAAGTCTGTAATTATGTTAGGATAAAGTTGGTTATTTTATTGGCTTAAAAAAAATCTGATTGGATAGAATTTTTATTTTTATTTTTAATGTTTCTCTTTCTGTATGTTAAAAATTTAAGGTTATATTTTTGAATTAACGTTTTTGATATAACTTATAGTTGATAATTGATATTTAATAATTGATAATTATAGTTATTTATAATTTAAAATACTTAATTTATTTGTTAATGATCTAAGTATTTTAGTAATCGTCTGTTTTCATTGAAAGTAAAAGATTTCAAGTTCAAATAAGATATAAGTAAGATAAGAAATAAGAGATAATTGTATAGCCAAGATAAAAAAAAAAAACTAACTTAATCCCTTTGATTAGATCCTACACTGATAGTTGTTGAGCAATGCTAGGGGCACTCGCCTCCTGCACTCTCCGGCCAACACTTTCCCTTTTATTGGGCCACGTTGTTTTGGTTACGAAGAGGTTGCGCCTGAAAGGTCAGGGAAGCTTACGTGGCCCAATGAAAGGGAAAGTGCTGGCCGGAGAGTGCAAAAAGCGAGTGCCCGTAGCACTGCTCGATAGTTGTTTCTAAAAGGCTAAACCGAACACCCTATGAACCTTTTCATTGCCTAAAAATTGAAATTATGATTTTTTACTGAGTAGGAAGGAAAATTGGTGGCCGGTTCATACCAGGAATGGACTTGTAGTTTCCCCTGTTTTCTCAAATCCCAGCAAAGGAATTTCAGTCTGTTTAAAAAAAAAAAGAAAATTCCCACAAAGGTTAGACGTCCTCTTCCCCAGAGCTTCAAGTTTATCTTGTTTCCTTTCTTCTTTCTCACCTTCCATCTTAATAATAAGTCTTTTTTCTTTTGGCCTTCCATTTTAAAGCATTCAATGCTTCGCAAAATCTAGTATTAATCAGCTGGTATTGTGCTTTGTCCAGTAATAATCTTAATATGAGGCAGGTGTTACATGCATGCAGGCTTTCAATCAAGAAGATAAAATAATGAAGAAACATACAGTAAGAAATTTTCGCTACTTTAAATAACAATTTTTTGGATGGGGCTAAACTTTAACAAGTCTCTCGGAAAATGCCATGATCAGGCACTTCTACATGATAATCTCCTGGAAAATTTTATACATGTCAATGTTTAGTCTTCCTTCTTTAGATAGTAGAAAGACTAACTCCCTAACATGTAAGAAAAGTCGTTTGATTCACATATGGCACTCATCTAAGCGGCCTTTGTGCAACTGAAATGCTGGATTAACCCAAGCTCCACAACTGCATTGCATGCCTGCCCAGTTGAAAGAACCCAGACGAGCTTTGCAGCCCATGCACTGAAGTTTCTCTTCAACAAAACCCTCTTGCACTGGCCAAATCAAATTCAAGTTATTAATTTAACCAAAAGGAAAACAGCGAGGATGCAAGACAGTAAAATAAACATACAACAACAATCAAGCTTAGCAAATCACCTGTTTGCATCCATTTCAAGGGCTCCACAAATATGGAGGAGCATTCAGCTGGTTCTTTTTCCGTGTCCCAAGGATTACCACTTCTCTTTTTCCATTTAAAGCATTGTTCTCCCTTTCCACGCTCATGAGGAACTATGTTATCCTCCGCAGCCACAATTCTACGGCATTTTTTACAGCGGTATATGACTTGAGGTTTAGGAACAGCTTCCTGATTAGAGTTATTGGTTGCCTCCTCCATTCAAATATTTCAATTACCTTTGCACTATATGCAAAGGGAAAGAGAAAACATTAACTAAAGAACTGATCATCACCAAGAAACTGCGAAAAAGATACTCATAAATAATATATATAATAAAAAAAATACAAAAATAACTAAAGAGCAGTACTGAAGGTGTACAATTATTAGTTGCTCTACTTCTTGCTTAGCCTTACTGAATTGTTATCACTACAACAACTTAAGCAAGCAATGATTCTTAACAGAAACATCAAGTTTAAGCAAATAGCACACTACTAAAAGGGAATATGCAGCCATCCATGCAGATGGGATAAAAAACCGAAGAGAATTAAGTCTCTCCTAAATTGCACTCTCACTAGTTGCTACAAGTCTGCTGCTTTTGCTATCCCACAGCACTGATCATCAGAGGCAAAATTCAAGCTTAAGCTAAAAGACCTACATCTGGTTCAGATGGAAACTTTAAGACATATTAACAACAAAATGCAAGAAATTAAAAAAATACAGAATCTCAAACAACACCAATTATCGAAACCTTTTACAAGCTGTCCCTTTTCCTATTGGGACAGTTCAACATACAATCCAACACATACATTGCAGACCACCCTTTTAAAAGTTCCTCCACTCCTTTCCAATTTTATTTCTTTCCAAGAACAACTTGGGTTCCAGGACTAGCCTGTCGAAAACCCAAATTCATACCCCCCCCCCTCCTAAAAAGACAGAAATTCTCCCTTCCATTCGATTTTTGTGGACTAAAAAGTTACTAATAGGAAAAATAAAACCTTCTTCTACAATGGCAAAACAATATGAAGGCTTTCTCTTAATATTCGCGCGCACAAACTAATTAGATTCTATTCCCTTAAGTGACATAGAAAAATACACCATGATTCCAACGATTTAAACAGCATTCCTCCACTAAAGTAACAAACTTTAACTGATAATCGAAATCCCAGAACATCTCCAATTAATTAGTATAATAGATCGTTCATAAGTCAGCAGTTATTACCCCCAAAACCCAAAGCAACACGGGGAAAATATCTAGGGTTATTGTCCAAAATTCACAATACAATTACAATACAAGAGAAAATTACAATATGCAAAGAAGAAGAAGAAGAAGAAGAAGAAAAGTAGTTACCTTGGACTGGGAAACTTGCCGGAGACCGATCCTTCTTCCCAGAAAAGACAACACTCAGAACAGTCTTCCGTTCGGCGAAGTATGGCAACACACCTGGTGAGGAGCAACCTTAAACCATGGCGTCGAGGAGAAAATCAATTTACACATATACCCTTAATTGAATCAACGATGTCGTATCCGTATATGAATAAGTACTCAAGGACAACTCGTATATTGAACTTTCTTGTTAGTTGTTACGTTACAAATACAATAATGTTTATTATATAATTTGATATAATTTAAATTATATTATATATTTTATTTATATATAAATTTTATATAAAGTTTTATATTTTTTTATGTTCAATTTTTATAAATTTATTTTATTTTTTAATTTTATAAATATAAATTTTAAATAAAAATTTAATAATTTATATAAATAATAACAAAAAATAATTTTTATAAAATTTTTTAAGTATTTTTATTTAATAAAAAATTTAATTATTATTTATATAATTCTAAAAATTTTATTTAAATTTTATATTTAAAAAATTGAATTAAGTTTATTGAAAATAAAGAGAGAAAACATACAATTTAGTAAATCGTTGTGATGGCCAAGTGGGTCTAAGATCCCAGGATAAGGTTCTCGTCTGGAAGGGCGCGGCTTCAAATCCCAACCTCAACAAGAAAATTTTACCATTTTGCTGATAAAAGAAATATGTAATTTTATAGTATATTCTTTTCCTTTTACCAAACTTTATAATTTTGTAAGTATTTATTAATTTAATTAATAACATATAACAATTGTAAATAAAATTTGTATTATAAATAAATTGTTTCCATATCATTAGCTTTGCTTCTTAATTCATTTTTGATTAATGATCAGATCAAGGGTTTGCCATGCTCACGTATGTGCAAAATTTCATATTAGGGCAAAAAAAAAAAAAGAAAAAGAAAAAAAAGACCACTTTCTTATGCGATTGTGATGCTTGTGGTTAGCATGAAATTTTTGTGAAAAATCTCTTGATTCATTTAAAAATATGATTAAGTTTATATGTCAATGTCGACCAATCTACTAAACTCATGTCAGGGTGTTGCTGATAAATTATGTCTAAAACTAAGAGTGAGCTGATGGGAAATTATTTAAAATGAATTGTTACTGTAGTGGTATTATCTTTGGTTTAAGCTCGTTTCCTATTTTTTTGGGAAATCTACTGAAGGGAAGTGCCCCTAAATCTCGGTCCAACTAATCTCTATTTGTTTAGCTTTTTAATTCTTATAGTAAGTGTTTTTTTTATTTTTATTTTTTAATTTTAGGTTACATAATAAAAAATAATTCTTTTCTAATCTCATAATTATCTTACTCACATATATATCATGCAAGTTAAATTTAAAATTTTTTATTTTCATAATAAAAAAAATTCTTATTGAACTATTTAAATTTTATTTATTAAGTTCTTAGCTCACTTTCAGAAGGTTTTAACCTTAAGGGGTGAGTTTAAACTTGAGTGTTTAAATTGAAAGTTTGGTTTCAACTTGAGAAAAATGAAGAGAGACCTTTTTTTTTTCTTTTTTTCTTTTTTGTAAGGGTTGAATTTTGTTAGTATTCTGTTTTGTAGTAATTGCCAAGAAAAAGCTGAGATCTTTGCTTGGAATGACTCGGGACCACACTTTTTAGGACATAGATATAGAAGCTATTACGCACTATTGTTGGAATTTTAATATTTTAATAAAATATAAAATAATATATTTTATACATTAAATTTATTATCTCATTAATGACTTGGTCAAACTAGCCATTGTAGGTTAATTGTC